TTAATCGGATTAAAAAATGATTAATTAATTGCTAAAGGATTGTATAGCAGCAAGGGAAACGCGTTGATTTTAAATTTTTCAACTCGGCTATAAAAGCCCAAATTTTCCTAATAGTTTTTTAAGGCAATCAGAAAATTCAGTGGTCAAAATGCTTGTGTTAGTTGACACTCTGATGCTTGACTCAGTGAGGATTAGCTCGAAATCCGTTTGCAAAGTTTTGTTGTACTATTTAAAGATAGATATATAAATCGATCTTAGGTTTCCTCCAACTGCCACAGTAATGAGCGGTTTGCGACGTAGCAAAATGTTCCTCCATTTATTCGGCACCTCCCGCCTTCATGAGGAGCTGAAACTGCGTCCAGCAACCGTTCGAGCACGTGTTCATTGCAACCAAAACCACCGTTGGCCTCAGTGCGGTTCCAACCGACTCTCCCGCTACCCAGTACACTACAAATTCTGGACACTGATGGATGAGGCTTTGTTGAAGTGTTTCAACAATCACATGGACCGCCGCATCCTCGCGATCTGCCGACGCTCTCAATGCTTGATGCAATTGCTCACCCCAGTGCGCAAGAATGCAAATGGCATATTCGTTCAACAAATAAGCATTCAAGCGCCATCCTTGGATGCTCTAGAGCGCTGTTGCTCCATTCTCGATGATGTGTTTCCGCAATTCAATGCCAGCATTACGTTGCGTGGACGTGGGAGTAGTGATACTACAACAACGGAATCGAGGATGGAGGAGTTGGGGATGGAGGAAGCAACAGCGACGATATCGAGAATGCCATCAGTGCCGGCAGAAGGTGTGGTCATCGGCATGGCGATGGAGCAAAACAGAGGAAATAGCAAATACACTCGGTACAGAGGCGTACCGAAATCCTCCGCTACCTTCACCTCCCCTACTACCACTCTTCACCATTGCTGTCCCACTCGCCAGCGCAGTAAGGAGAATTTGATCGGCTATATCATTTCGGAAAAGGGGAACGAGCACCGAGCTGCAGCTAAGGTTTATTGAGGGGTACAGCTATCCGTTCACCTCCAAGTTTTCTGGCTTTTCAATTGATTCTGGTATCTGTATTGTCAAAAATAGATGGAGAATCGCTTTGAGCTTGTAGCCAATGGGTCGGTGATACTTTAACCCTTGATATTACAAATTTATTTGGACTATATTCTTCGCAATCCCCATTAGATTTATAGCCAATGTTTTGGCAGATACATACACATTTGTCAAATTCAAAAGTAAGGTTAGTATTAAGTTGCTACGAAGAGTCCTGAGATTATGTTGGAGCTCCCTGAAGTAGTCTTCGCTGCTGTTGTAGAATCAGAATTCAAAGGTCATGGACGAATTGTTGAGCTACCACATGTCTAGTTGGTCATGGCGCTCTTCTCTATTTAGTGCTAAAAAACCACGCCAAATGTCCTGCTGTGCGCTACTCATTCCTGATCCAAGCCTAAATCATTTTATGGGTCAGCCACATTAGAGGGTGCGCAGCCATATCTAAACACTTGTTTGTTTTAGACCACGCCTAAAATCCTTTACGTTAATGTCATGCAACAGTTCAAGTAGAAAAGAGGTAGAATCATCTGATGTGGATAGTGAATTAGCAGTATAAAGCACCTTCTCATCCTGATTATGTTGTTTGGTTTAGGCACTGCATTTATAATTCTTAAGAAATGACGTCTTGCCCCTGTGCTGTGATTTTAGCGTGGCTTGGTGGGTTCTTCAGTCTAAGAAGGGTATGGGCGTGCCTCGTGTGTGCCAGACTGCTACCAACCATTCTATTAAATCTGTTAAAGAAGTCTCACTCCTTGCGATTAAATCCCTAATGGTGAATGGTACCACTCAACCCGTTATGACACCAATAACGACCCACGTTGCTAGATATTCCGCACGAAGACGTCCGACTGGACAGTTTGGATGACCCAACACAACTAAACAATGAGAACCCCACACGCGGTGCTTGAACCCACTATCGGGATTCACTTAGTTATACAATCGCGACCACTATGTTGTAAGCATTGCGCAACAGATTCATGACAGACTCAGGACCGGCGTCAACTCTCGCTCGTACCTCGAAACACCCCACAACTTGGACTAGAGGTCCCTGTGCAAGCCCTAGGAATCCCTGAACAAGGCGACAACGCCCCGATACCAACACTGCTATGACTATCGGCGCACCCTCAAGCGCTACACCAATAGCACCACGTCCTAGCCAGGCCTAAGCAGGCGGACCCAACGTGAAGTCACAATCCTAAAGCCTTAAGCTAAGAAGTTCTCAAGTGCTACAAAACTCGTTCACAAGCTCCCAGGACAGCATTTCCCATTCTCATCGCCGTTCCATCGCCCCGTGGAGGAAGCAAAAGACAGAAATTACTTGGAACGATTCATCAATTGGGCTCAAGAGGATACTAAGAGGCCACAAATGAAAACACAGAAGGAAGCTGATCCAGAGCTAACCAATGGAAACAGGGGAGCAGACGAATCAACAGTTGTAAAGCTCGCCACGAGCATCTAATCCAAATCTGCCAGGAGGGAAGAACAAATAAGTCACAACAATAGCAAAATGCTAGTGACACATACCATCCCCGGTAGGTTTCATCTGCGGTCCACCCGAAGCTGGTGCTGCTTGTGCATCTTCCGGTACACCCATCTTCTTGCCCACTTTCTTCATCAAATCAGCAAATTTAGGGTTGCTTGCTGCGGCGTTGAAGGCCGCAGGGTTCGTCAAACCCTGCGCAAAAGCCGCCTGCAGCTCAGGATCCTTAACGAGGAAAGGGATTAAACGAGATTCGTTACATCTCAGATAGCAAACTTAATTGACTTTGCAACATACCTGCATAGCAGCTATCAATTCGGGGTCAGATAGGATCTTACTGAATGCATCTTGCAGCCCTGAGGGCATCTCATCATCCGTCTAAAGGTAAGCAGGAAGTATGAGAGGACATAATAATGAGAAATCCCACTTCACAACTAACTAAACTCACCCGTTTCGCCTCTTCATGAGCCTTCTGACGAGCTGCATGAGCC